GGGGGGAGGGAGTGTCAGGTGAGGGGTCTCTGCCTCCCAGCTAGAATTATCTCCATTAGCTTCAGCTTCTTTCAGCTCCCCCTTGGTACAGCTCCCCACAGCCCTCCACTTGGGGACCCCCTCAACCCCACCCTTCTCCCACCCGGGCCTTGCAACTACTTCTGTACAAAGTCTCCAAGGTCCGTGTCTAAGCAGAGCAGGACTGGGTAGGGGAGGTCGAAGGGAGATCAATATGCTGGTCCTTAACCTGTAATTGCACCTTCCAGGACTGAGAGGCAAGACCCTCTGCCCGCCTTCCACCCATCGCCCGCGCACCAGCCTGCCAGGCCCCTGGGAGCTGAGCCACGGCCGCTGCAGCCTCCTGACACTGAGGTTCCCGCCGGACCTGCCCCTTCCACTGCGGCTCACTCTGCCCTGCCTGGCGCCGGTCTTGGATGGCCGGCTTCACATTTATACCGGACCTGGTTTCTCTCCACTCACTTTACCATCCTGTTTCAGGTGGTCCCTAGTCTCCTACTGCTCCCTACCCACCCACCCCGCCCCAGCACTCTTCGCGGACCCCTCCCCATGCCCCCCAAAGCTCCCAGTCTCTCCCTTTAAGCGGACCTGGTCAGACCTCTCTCGCGCTCGCTCGCACTCCCTGCTTCGTTGTCCCCCCCCCCCATCCCCATCTTATCCTGTTCCCCTCCCTTCTTGCTCTTCTCCTTTGCCATTCCCCATCATCTGCTTATTTCTTGCCACAAGAGTTTTATTCTTTATAAGCGTTTTCCACACAACTACCCACCTCCCAAACCCTTCTGAAAGACTCCCTCCCAGTCCCTTTCCCAGACAACACCCCAAAGACGGAACACATACACACAAGGCAGACAGACACAAGGCCAGAAACTTACCTGCTTTCACCCAGCTGCAAAGTCAGGGCTCACTTAAGCTCCCCCCCAAAATCAATTGTCCTTCCTTTTTAAAGGTTTGCTCTCTCCTTGGGGTGGGGGGGGTAACTTCTGGTTCCCAACTCCAGATAGTCACTCTTTACAATTTATTTTGTCGTACATCATTTGATCACCATGAATTAGCAACAGCAAGAAATGTAGGGGAGGAAGAAAAGAGAGAACGAGAGAGGGAGAGAGAGGGAGAGAGAGAGAGGGAGCAGAGCTTTCTGCAAGAGAAGAAGAAGAAAAAATGTACGTGTGACAAATTATGCTACCAAGAAACAACACATCATTATCCTTGGGCCTGGGGCTCAGTGAGTCGTAACGAGAGTAATAGGAAATCCACGGTTGGGGAGAGAAACGGTCGTGCTTGGCCAGTAGAGAGAGACCATACAGGGGGATGGATGCTGGAGAGACTCGCAAAATTATGGCTCAAGGCTATTGTAAAAATTGTCGAGCGTAAATGACTGCGATTTCAAACATCTTTGGAAGAAAGAAGGGGAAAAAGCGAGCCCCCCCTCCCTCCCTTTCCCTCTCTCTCCCTCTCTCTTCTCTCTCTCTATAAAGAACCGTCAAGTTTTAGTGCGCATTGCTAATTAGTCAATTTCTCTCTGCCTTCACAGGCTGGCGACTTCGCTGCTGAGCTGAAACTGCTAATTTCTGTGACCAGCTTTTTTCTTAGCTGTGATCTGGATGAATGAGTAGCTGTCTCACAGAGATGACAAAAATAAACTCTAATCCCCCCCAAAATTTCCACTACATCTTTCTCATGCATAGATTTATGATCTTTAAGCGCTCTGTGCAATATGCAAACTTTTTTTGTCTGTATATGTGCTGTTGTTTCCAGATTTTTCACTACATTTGTATGCTGCTTGTCACACACCCCCCCCCCCCAAATGCAATACCAGACTGATTCCAGAGTATGCCAAGATGCCACTTTGTCCTATCTTGGGGTTGGGGGTAGGGTTTGGATCTTGCCTTAGAGGTGAGGGGCTGAGCATGGTGGGGGAGGGGCGGTGGGGGGAGTAGAGCTGCTGGGCAAAATGGGGGCAGCCCTTCCCTTTATGCTTGCTCCCCTGTACTGGTCAAGCTTGATGATCTTGTATGAAAACACATATTTTCTCTATCATTTTGTCTGGTTAAACAACCACCGTCTCTGAACTTCTCCCTCAGCTCTTCCACAGAGAAAGGTTCAGAAGTCACATATATTTTTATTGGGAAATTAGCATATTGTCAGATGTGTCTTTCATTCAGGAGTGGGAATCACAGTAATATGAGGAGACTCAGCTGTAATTTCCTGAATGCAACCTTTCACTTTGAGGCTCATTGGGTATCTAAGGGCAGCCACCAAGGGCTCACATTTTTGACCCTCACTTACCATGCAAAACAAACCCAGTGTGGAATGTTAGCTGTAGGAGAGATTCATGTGCATTCCAGTGGAGGACACATTCCCTAGATTTAGCCCATGATGTATTGCGCCCTTACATTTATAGCCCTGCATTTCTGTTGTCAATGGGAGTTGGAGATGTCCAAGAAAGAGAGCGACAGGAAAAGGGAAGGAATGCCCTGAATACAATGTCGTGAAAAAAAGCTGGATGTCAGTTCAATCGAGCTTTTTTTGCAATGAAGTCTGTGCTTATGGTTCATTTGAATTAGTCCGGGCTCTGCTTAGTATACGTATGAAAATACACATCAGGGCACCCTTGGACCTTGTCCTTTTACCTTCCTCTTTGATTTCTGAGAGATGGAAACACACCTGCTCAAGGGAGGAGGGAGGGGAGGGGCGTGGAAACTGAAAATTCTTAGGTTCAGAGATTGGGAATTCCCCATTTAGCATGATCAACAGTAGAATGCATATGAGAGATTTACTCTTACAAAAGGCAGAAGGATGGAATGGAAGTATTCATCTATCACATAGGCCTTTCTCCATCCAGGAACTAGGTGATCTAGTAGTAAGACTTCTTTATTCTGGGCTGGCTGAGTAAGGTGCTGCATTTTCATAGTTATAATCATAACAGCAAAGCCTCAACACATGGGGGGAAATAGTGGAACACACTTTTTCTTTAGGGTAAAGACAAGAAAGAGAATAGATTGTGCAACTTTTCTGACCTTTATATATACTTTTAAAGATATATACATCTCTTTAAATTTTTTCTTGAAGAGGAGGAGGGCGTCATTCTAAGAATGTGTATTTTTTTCTGTTTCCTTAGCACTTAAAGCCACACAACAGGACGGGCCACCACAACTTTCATACCTGCAAGCAGAATTTTTATGGTTCATTTTTAATATTCATCGCTTACCAGATTCCAATGAAGTATTTGAAGTTAAACCCAAAGGTATCGATCAATGAAAATTATTGCCATTTTCCCTTTTTATCATAAAGGAGCTTAAGTGTGTTCTGTAGGCCTCAAAATCTCTTAGTTTCACATTTCTTTTTATTGGTAGGGTTTGTTGGCCACTGATTATAATTACGCTCATCTTTGTTGCTTCTAAACCACATAAGAGTTACCTTTCAAAAATTGAAACTATCCCTTGACAATTTAAGGTGGAAAGGAGAGGGAGAGAGTTCAAGTGTGCTGTGGGGTGGGGGCAGCAAGGGGTTGCATTTCTAAAACAGCTCTTGAAATGAAGCAAATAAGATGGATTCCTTGTGGGTTTTAAAGTTACACGATTTGGTTATATTTAAAATTTCTGAGAGAAAATGGCAATTATGATTATTTGGTAAGTCATATTTTGGAAAAGGAACATTTATAATAACAATCCCTCCATGGTCTGTGG